TGGGCCCGCATGCGGACCACCTGGCCGTACACATCCACCGTGCGCTCGGCGCGAGCCCGGGACAGCGACGCGTCCATGGCCACGAAGCAGCCCGCACGGCCAACACCAGCACTGTGTGGGGAGGGGAGGGAGACACGGTGAGAGAGACACGGGGAGAGAGACAGAGACACGGTGAGAGAGAGAGAGACACGGTGAGAGAGAGACACGGTGAGTGAGAAACGGTGAGAGAGACACAGTGAGAGAGAGACACGGTGAGAGAGAGACACAGTGAGAGAGACACAGTGAGAGAGACACGGGGAGAGAGACACGGGGAGGGAGAGAGAGAGAGACGGTGAGAGAGACAGAGAGAGACACGGTGAGAGAGAGAGACACGGGGAGGGAGAGAGAGACACAGAGAGAGAGAGAGACACGGTGAGACAGAGAGAGACAGAGAGACAGAGAGACAGCGACGCGTCCATGGCCACGAAGCAGCCCGCACGGCCAACACCAGCACTGTGTGGCGAGGGGAGACATGGTGAGAGAGAGAGACACGGGGAGAGAGACACGGTGAGAGAGACACGGGGAGAGAGAGAGACACGGGGAGAGAGAGAGACACGGGGAGAGAGACACGGGGAGAGAGACACGGGGAGAGAGACACGGTGAGAGAGACACGGGGAGAGAGACACGGTGAGAGAGACACGGGGAGAGAGACACGGTGAGAGAGACACGGGGAGAGAGACACGGTGAGAGAGACACGGGGAGAGAGACACGGGGAGAGAGACACGGGGAGAGAGAGATACGGGGAGAGAGACACGGGGAGAGAGACACGGTGAGAGAGAGACACGGGGAGAGAGACACGGGGAGAGAGACACGGTGAGAGAGACACGGGGAGAGAGACACGGGGAGAGAGACACGGTGAGAGAGACACGGGGAGAGAGACACGAGGAGAGAGACACGGGGAGAGAGACACGGGGAGAGAGAGATACGGGGAAAGAGACACGGGGAGAGAGAGAGACACGGGGAGAGAGACACGGGGAGAGAGACACGGGGAGAGAGACACGGTGAGAGAGACACGGGGAGAGAGACACGGGGAGAGAGACACGGTGAGAGAGACACGGGGAGAGAGACACGGGGAGAGAGACACGGTGAGAGAGACACGGGGAGAGAGACACGGTGAGAGAGAGACACGGTGAGAGAGACACGGTGAGAGAGACACGGTGAGAGAGACACGGGGAGAGAGACACGGTGAGAGAGACACGGTGAGAGAGACACGGGGAGAGAGACACGGTGAGAGAGACACGGGGAGAGAGACACGGTGAGAGAGACACGGTGAGAGAGACACGGTGAGAGAGACACGGGGAGAGAGACACGGGGAGAGAGACACGGGGAGAGAGACACGGTGAGAGAGACACGGGGAGAGACACGGGGAGAGAGACACGGTGAGAGAGACACGGGGAGAGAGACACGGGGAGAGAGACACGGTGAGAGAGACACGGGGAGAGAGACACGGGGAGAGAGACACGGGGAGAGAGACACGGTGAGAGAGACACGGGGAGAGAGACACGGGGAGAGAGACACGGTGAGAGAGACACGGGGAGAGAGACACGGGGAGAGAGACACGGTGAGAGAGACACGGGGAGAGAGACACGGGGAGAGAGAGACACGGGGAGAGAGAGACACGGGGAGAGAGAGACACGGGGAGAGAGAGACACGGGGAGAGAGACACGGTGAGAGAGAGAGACACGGGGAGAGAGACACGGGGAGAGAGAGATACGGGGAGAGAGACACGGGGAGAGAGACACGGTGAGAGAGAGACACGGGGAGAGAGACACGGGGAGAGAGACACGGTGAGAGAGACACGGGGAGAGAGACACGGGGAGAGAGACACGGGGAGAGAGACACGGGGAGAGAGACACGAGGAGAGAGACACGGGGAGAGAGACACGGGGAGAGAGAGATACGGGGAAAGAGACACGGGGAGAGAGAGAGACACGGGGAGAGAGACACGGTGAGAGAGACACGGGGAGAGAGACACGGTGAGAGAGACACGGGGAGAGAGACACGGGGAGAGAGACACGGTGAGAGAGACACGGGGAGAGAGACACGGGGAGAGAGACACGGTGAGAGAGACACGGGGAGAGAGACACGGTGAGAGAGAGACACGGTGAGAGAGACACGGGGAGAGAGACACGGTGAGAGAGACACGGGGAGAGAGACACGGTGAGAGAGACACGGTGAGAGAGACACGGGGAGAGAGACACGGTGAGAGAGACACGGGGAGAGAGACACGGTGAGAGAGACACGGGGAGAGAGACACGGTGAGAGAGACACGGGGAGAGAGACACGGGGAGAGAGACACGGGGAGAGAGACACGGTGAGAGAGACACGGGGAGAGAGACGGGGAGAGAGACACGGTGAGAGAGACACGGGGAGAGAGACACGGGGAGAGAGACACGGTGAGAGAGACACGGGGAGAGAGACACGGGGAGAGAGACACGGGGAGAGAGACACGGTGAGAGAGACACGGGGAGAGAGACACGGGGAGAGAGACACGGTGAGAGAGACACGGGGAGAGAGACACGGGGAGAGAGACACGGTGAGAGAGACACGGGGAGAGAGACACGGGGAGAGAGACACGGTGAGAGAGACACGGGGAGAGAGACACGGGGAGAGAGACACGGTGAGAGAGACACGGGGAGAGAGACACGGGGAGAGAGACACGGTGAGAGAGACACGGGGAGAGAGACACGGGGAGAGAGAGACACGGGGAGAGAGAGACACGGGGAGAGAGAGACACGGGGAGAGAGAGACACGGGGAGAGAGAGAGACACGGGGAGAGAGAGAGACACGGGGAGAGAGAGACACGGGGAGAGAGACACGGGGAGAGAGACACGGGGAGAGAGAGACAAGGGGAGAGAGACACGGGGAGAGAGACACGGGGAGAGAGACACGGGGAGAGAGACACGGTGAGAGAGACACGGGGAGAGAGACACGGTGAGAGAGAGACACGGTGAGAGAGACACGGGGAGAGAGACACGGTGAGAGAGACACGGGGAGAGAGACACGGTGAGAGAGACACGGTGAGAGAGACACGGGGAGAGAGACACGGTGAGAGAGACACGGGGAGAGAGACCCGGTGAGAGAGACACGGGGAGAGAGACACGGTGAGAGAGACACGGGGAGAGAGACACGGGGAGAGAGACACGGGGAGAGAGACACGGTGAGAGAGACACGGGGAGAGACACGGGGAGAGAGACACGGGGAGAGAGACACGGGGAGAGAGACACGGTGAGAGAGACACGGGGAGAGAGACACGGGGAGAGAGACACGGTGAGAGAGACACGGGGAGAGAGACACGGGGAGAGAGACACGGGGAGAGAGACACGGTGAGAGAGACACGGAGAGAGAGACACGGTGAGAGAGACACGGGGAGAGAGACACGGGGAGAGAGACACGGTGAGAGAGACACGGGGAGAGAGACACGGGGAGAGAGACACGGTGAGAGAGACACGGGGAGAGAGACACGGGGAGAGAGACACGGGGAGAGAGACACGGTGAGAGAGACACGGGGAGAGAGACACGGGGAGAGAGACACGGTGAGAGAGACACGGGGAGAGAGACACGGGGAGAGAGACACGGTGAGAGAGACACGGGGAGAGAGACACGGGGAGAGAGACATGGTGAGAGAGACACGGGGAGAGAGACACGGGGAGAGAGACACGGTGAGAGAGACACGGGGAGAGAGACACGGGGAGAGAGACACGGTGAGAGAGACACGGGGAGAGAGACACGGGGAGAGAGACACGGTGAGAGAGACACGGGGAGAGAGACACGGGGAGAGAGACACGGTGAGAGAGACACGGGGAGAGAGACACGGGGAGAGAGACACGGGGAGAGAGACACGGTGAGAGAGACACGGGGAGAGAGACACGGTGAGAGAGAGACACGGTGAGAGAGACACGGTGAGAGAGACACGGTGAGAGAGACACGGGGAGAGAGACACGGTGAGAGAGACACGGTGAGAGAGACACTGGGTGAGAGACACGGTGAGAGAGACACGGGGAGAGAGACACGGTGAGAGAGACACGGGGAGAGCGACACGGTGAGAGAGACACGGGGAGAGAGACACGGGGAGAGAGACACGGGGAGAGAGACACGGTGAGAGAGACACGGGGAGAGACACGGGGAGAGAGACACGGGGAGAGAGACACGGGGAGAGAGACACGGTGAGAGAGACACGGGGAGAGAGACACGGGGAGAGAGACACGGTGAGAGAGACACGGGGAGAGAGACACGGGGAGAGAGACACGGGGAGAGAGACGCGGTGAGAGAGACACGGGGAGAGAGACACATGGGAGAGAGAGACGCGGTGTGAGAGAGACACGGGGAGAGAGACACGGTGAGAGAGAGAGAGAGGAGAGAGAGACACGGTGAGAGAGACACGGGAGAGAGACACGGGGAGAGAGACACGGTGAGAGAGACACGGGGAGAGAGACACGGGGAGAGAGACACGGTGAGAGAGACACGGGGAGAGAGACACGGGGAGAGAGACACGGGGAGAGAGACACGGTGAGAGAGACACGGGGAGAGAGAGACACGGTGAGAGAGAGACACGGTGAGAGAGACACGGGGAGAGAGACACGGTGAGAGAGACACGGGGAGAGAGACACGGTGAGAGAGACACGGGGAGAGAGACACGGTGAGAGAGAGACACGGTGAGAGAGACACGGGGAGAGAGACACGGTGAGAGAGACACGGGGAGAGAGACACGGTGAGAGAGACACGGGGAGAGAGACACGGTGAGAGAGACACGGGGAGAGAGACACGGGGAGAGAGACACG